TGTAGTCGTATTGTTGTGGCGGCTTTGTCGCGCCAGCGCACGGACGGCTGCGGCCAGCGCCCTGTCTTAGGCACCAGCCATGACGCTCGCGCGCCAGCCAGTGCGCCAGTCACGGGCACCTTGCTGAAGCACGCCCCTCCTCTATGTCTCCCCTTTTTCCAGCCGCGGCTGATGACTCCATACCCGATCGTCGCCGAGCCGTGCCACGCCGCTGGGTGCCGCGAGCTTTGCAGTCGCCGCTGCCGTCGTCGAAGCCGGCGCCGCCGCCGCCGCTGTCGTCGTCGTAGAAGCCGCCGCTGACGACGTTGCTGCCACCCGCCGCCGTTGTCGCCGCTTCGCACGAGGGGTAGAAGCCACACCTGTTGCAGGACATGGGGGTCCACGTGCTTGGGGGTGTTGCATGTGGGGTGGGCTTGCGAGTACCAAGCCTAGGGGGTGTGTCAAATTATATATTATATATATATATTTGTGTAGGCTTGGTAGGTGTGCGACAATTACTAAATCCTACTGTAGAAGGTACAACACCCTTCTTGTATCCCTCTCTCTTCTAGTCCAACCCTCTTTTCTCCCTAGCTCAAACCTCTCGACATTCCTAATGCCTAACTACCTAGTTAACTCCTTCTAACAGATGGCATGTATCAGTACCACAACTTCGTGGGAATGCTTAAGTTTGGACGACAAAGCCTCGCCAGTAGGGGGCCCGTTTGCTACTGAGTTTTCCCATTTCCTGGCTTCTCCTTGCCGTTCTTCGTCTTGGGCGCCGCAAGGCTTTACTTAGCTCGGTGATCTGGCTTGTCACATCTATAACATAGCCCGTGAAATTCTTTGTCGGGCGCAAACACGCCATTGATCGTGGGGCGGGGAGCAGGGTCCTCCTTAGGCTTTTTGCAATTTATGATCATATGAAGCCCTTATTTCCAGTTTCTGATCATCAGAAGCCCATATCCTCAGTTTCTAAAAATTCGGAAGAATCACATAAATATGTTTCGGGAAAATCAGAAGTTTGAACGACTAGCCTCTGTCTGAGTTCATTGTTCATGATTTACTTGTAACAGTTTCTCCATGTGCTACAAGGACGCCAATTTAGGAACTTCTCATGGGGGCGTATTCGAAACCTAGAAGTCAAACGACCATCGGAGCTGACCTCTTGGCTCTGCTTCTCCTCTATTCAATTCAAACCTCCATGTTCCGACCTTTAGCCCTGCTCCCTGTCCCGCTCCCCCCTTTCTCCCCTCTCGCGCAATTTAGTGCAGTGCCAAGTGTCGAAATCAGCATAATGATGCGGTTTAGTAGAACGATGCACTCGAGTTATCGCTAAATCCAGGAAGACGCCTCCAGTATCGGGGCTCTCCCGGCAAGAATTGTCTGTAGACAAACAGATTCGCTTCTCATGAAATTTCAGAAGGACCAGTATACGCTTTATGAAAATTCTGAAGCTTACAAAATCAATTTCTAAGGCATCAGAAATTTGAAAACCGGGCTTCTAAAAAATCAGAAGAAAAAGAAAGAAAAAATGTGTATGAAAATTAGACAAACAGACATATTTTGTCTGGTGAGGACCTTGGCGGCGAGACTGTCCACAAAAATGACAAGCATCTCTGATGTTCTTCTTCGCCCACTGCTGCAATGCATAATCTGCTGACGCCAGCTGGACAGCCTCATCGAATGTCTTGGGTCGGGACCGCTGCAACTCACAATGAATAAAAAGAATGCAGCCCGCCGATGTATTTTTCCTACCTTTTTGCTTCGCTGAGGTCGTCCACTTGGTCTGCAAGTGCCGAGAACGACGCACTGTAATCTTGAAAAGTAGTTGTCAATTTATACATATATTTGTATGTAGAAGTTATAGGCTAGATAGGTGTGTGTTCTTAGAGGGTACAACTCCAACCCTAGATCTCTCTTGTTCACCCTTGTTTCTATTCATTCTCGTATTCTAACATGGTATCATAGTAGGTTAGGTCCTCCCGCCCGCTTCCGCCCCTCGCCCTAGCCTACTGTTCCGCCGGCCCCCCCCCACCCTTAGCATACCGCCGGCCCCTAGCCCGTCGTGCCGGCCCCTTAGCGCCCGCCGCCCCCTCGCGCCTAGCCCCCCCTGCCCTCGCACACACCCGGCCCCTCGCGCGACCATGCTGGCCCCTCGCGTACCCCGCCGGCCCCTAGCCCATCGTGCCGGCCCCTCGAGCCTAGCCGGCCCCACGCGTAACACCGGCCCCTCGCGCGCCCACGCCGCCCCCTTAGCTTGCCGTGCCGGCCCCTCGCGCCTAGCCGGCCCCTCGCATTCTCGCCGGCCCCTCGCGCCTAACTGGCCCCTCGCGCCTAGCCGGCCCCTCGCGCCTAGCTGGCCCTTCGCGCTCACTAGCCCCTCGTGCGTCCGGCAGACCCTCGCGTACCTCCCTGGCCCCTCCTGCACCTTTCTAGCCCTAGACGCCCCGCCGGCTCTTCGAGCGCCCACTGGCCCTCATGCGCCACCTGGCCCAAGTGCTCCCCCGGCCCTTTGCTCCCTGCCGGCCCTGAGCGCCTCTGGCCCTCTTCGGCCTTCCGCCCGGTTTTCCTGCCGGCAGGCCCTGTCACCATGGCGCTGTGCCGCTGAGTACCTGTATCGCCGTGTACCCGTGCTGCTGTGCCGCCATGATGATGTGTTGCCGTGGACCTGTGCCGCTGAGGTTGCACGATGGCGGACGCCGTACTTCGCCTGGACGCGGAGGGGCACGCGATCGACTTCGCCGCCTGGCTTGTCGATCTTCGCCGGCACCTGACAGGTCAGTGCTAGGATGGGCACTCCCTGGCTATGCACGTTGATGGCTTGCTTCCCCGCCCCTCTGCGCCTGATCCCCTCCCTACTGACCCCATCACTGCCGAGAGTGAGACCTTTGCTGCTGCTGCGCTCGCTGGCGCTATCTGGTATTCTCGCAACGCTGTAGCGCAACTCGTCATTAGTCATGCGTTTGCCCTGTCTGAGTGTCCGCGCTTCACTGCTGTCGCGAACGCCAAGGACTTCCTAGATGCAGTAGTTGCACGCTTCTCCACCCCTGCCTCCGCCTCCGCTGGCCATTTGATCCTCCCTATGCTATTCCCCGATCTTTCTACTTTCTCCAGCTATCGCTGACATCGCCTCTAACCGCCGCCTTGACTACGCCACCGCTCTGGTCTCTGACCCTGTCTGTCCTCCGTTCGTCCGGGGTGCACCTATCCTTGGTAGTGTCGTCATAGAGGACAAGCAGTACGAGCTTGCTTTCCTGGCTCAGGCTACTCCCCATCTCTGTTCTATGCTGCTAGTCCCTGAGGGTGACCCAGGCGCCTTTGAGATCCCGACCCCTCGCACCTACGCTGAGGTGACTTCGGGACCCTGGGCCTCTTAGTGGATAGCTGCTCAGGGTCCCCAAGATACTTTGTTCGTCCATATTGATACTTGCGGCCGTGAAGAAAAACTCCATCCTGAACAGCCACACTTGCTCAATTGTCGCCTTGTCAGAAGTGTTGCACGGGGGCGGCGTGGCTGACTTGAGCTTAATCTTCGTCACAGTCACAGTGCGCATGTCGTCCTGCTCCAACTCTCGTGCGAGTTCGTCAAGGACGGTTTCACTTGCCGCGTCGTTGGCTTCTTGCTTGACGTCATTCTCTGCGACTCTAGGCGACTCCTGACGCGCTTCACCACGCGTCTAACGAAGCTCGGTGTTCTCCGTCCGAAGCCTTACGACTTCACTATTCAAGCTCGCCATCTGGGCTTGTATTGCTGCATCTGATCCATGACCTCGTCTAGCTGGGCTTGAGTCATGATGCAAATGCTACTCCTTTCAGGCAGGGGGAAGGCCGTGGTAAGGAACCGAAGGAGGCGCAAACGCTATCGTAGTTGTGTGAGCTAATAAATCTAGCTCACGAACAACCGCTTTGCAGCTCCGCGGGGTTAACCACACCTTAGAAATTAAACTACCATGAGAAAGAGGGGTGAACAAGGAAAGTAGCTCTTATACCAATTGTTATGAATAATAACTAAGAGTGCGCAGAATAATAATGACGAGTACAAGAATGGGGGCCTAACATTATATAGCGGGAACCGTAGCTAGGCGACGAGCCCGGAGGGCTAGGTTGGGTACAGGCGCAGTCGAAAGGCCCAGCGGCGGCGTGAGCCAGCCTCGGGCTTTCGTCGGAATCGGACCGAGCCTGGTCTTCCTTACAGAAGAGTTCGGGTGTACGAGATTGCAGGACAGCCCGGTAAGGAATAAAGTTCCGGGAAATGATAAAAAAGGGTCCTCACCCTGCTAGAGGCGTGAGCAAAAAAGGTCCGGCAGCTTTCTGCCCCGAGACCTTGTCTCCGAACCTGTGATAAATCGCCTTCGTCGTACAACACGTAAATATTTTTGGTTCGCGACACAACTCAGGTCTATAGGGTGCGTCGTATCGTGATCATATGAGGTGGGACATTTATATGAACAGTGTTGTAGGGCATAAAAAAAAAAACTTCAACCCGTAGGGCCCTCACATGCAACTCGGGGTAGCATAAACCGTAAAAGCGCAAAAGAGCTGCGTGTTTAGGGTTGATGCCATCTCGAAGGGAATTCTCGCCCAAATGGATTTTTATGTTTTTGCCTTTTTGTTGATATACGTTTACTGGTAAGTACTAAAAATAAAACGGAGTGTATTACAGGTTTGGAGGTAGACGGACCATTTTGCTCGCACCCCTGGTAGAGTGAGGACCCTTTCTGATCATTTCCCTAAAATTCCTTACAGGAGTATAGCGGTGGAGCTTGTGGTGCGGCTTTGAAGCCCAGATGTAGGTCAGCCGAACGGTGCCGAGCCTGTCACTGGCCGTTGGGCATTTTGTGTTCCAGTCACGGAACTCGCTAACGCGTGACAGTGTGGCTCGGTGGCGCGGTGGCGGGAAACTATCGTGTGCTCCAATCGCTGCGCCAAGTCATGCGGAGATCCCTGTGTTGGCAAACCAGAGCATCACCCTCGGGATAAGTGGTTTGGGCAACACAGCAGAACCTACCAACCAGGCTTCAGGCAACAGAAATAATTGCTAAGGGGAGAGTGTTGCGAGAAAGAACAGGCGAGCAAACCCTGATTTTCTCCTGTGTGATCCTTGGCTGCCTGCTCTTCAGTTCTTTCGACTTCTGCCTGAAGCACGGCAATACAGATTCAGCTCACCAGATTCACGCAAGCTCGGAGTTGTTTGGGTGTACTAGTTTCTAACCTCGTTCTCTGTTAGTCTTAGTGCTAGTTTGACGTTTGTAGAGAATCGTAACTTGCAGCAATGGCGAATCAAGAGGAGGTTTGGGAGAGGGATCCTCTTTTCAAAAAGCTACGAGCCAAATCCGAGAACAAGGTTAGAATGCGTCATGTTAATTTTAGTATCTATTATGCCTCGTTCATTGGATCTTATCTTCTTGGTTGGATCACAAGGGTTTACGCTCAGCTGTGCTTTCTGCAATCCGCTTCGTTGTCTCTTGCACCCACTGTCAGATGTGCTTCGACTGCAATGCGAAGAATCCCACGTGGGCGTCGGTCACTTACGGAGTCTTCATATGCCTCGACTGTTCAGCGATGCACCGCAGCCTCGGCGTCCACGTCAGCTTTGTCAGGTGCGTGACCTGCGGCCGACTTACTTACGTGTCGAAATTCATATGGTCAAGTATGTGCCTTACTTTTCCTCTCGCTAAATGCATGTCTGCTTTCCATATCGGGTGTGATCGGCGGGATTCACAAACTTTGGAACGTTCTAGTACTAAGCTATGCGACCCGCTCTGTTGCTTGAAAGCCTGCCATTCCTGGTACGCGACAACCAGTATATCTGACGATCGTCAAAGCCTTGATGTCAACGGCAATCGCTCACCAGGTCGACAACCCTTGACGGCTGGAGCGTTGAGCAACTGAAGATCATGGCGTTCGGAGGAAACGGCCGAGCGCGGGCCTTCTTCAAGCAGCACGGATGGACGGACGGAGGCAAGATCGAGCAGAAGTACACCTCTAGAGCCGCTGAGCTGTACCGGCAGCTGCTGGCAAAGGAGGTCGCTAAGAGCTTCACCGGCGGCGCACAGACATCCCTGCCTTCCCCGACATCGTCTAGCGGCCAAACAGCTGCGAATGGTGGTGCTGCAGCGGCGGCGCCCGCTGCTGAGGAGACCCCGGCTCCTGCCGCTGCTGCTCCTGCTGCTCCTGCTGCTGCAGCGTCGCGAGTGTCTCCGATTACAAGGAAGCCGGCGAGCGTCACTGCGAAGAAGACGACCGCTAAGTCGTCCGGCCTCGGGGTTAAGAAACTCACGACGAAGGTCAGTATGGCTGGGATTGTATGGATTGGGGAAAGTTGAGTACAGGGCTGTCGGGTTGTCGTGACTCGAAACGGAGAATACACTGGCAGAGCACAACTACGGTCGAGAGTGAATTTGAAAAGATCAATAAGGACGTTTCGTGTGTTTGATGTGAACGTGTGTTTGAAAATGCCAAAAGATGACCATCAAAGGACGATCACAGAACAATGCACAACTCTTTAACCGCTATACACTGATACGATGCGTGCCCTTTTCCCCAGTTCGTTTTCCTGCGTGAGGAGTCTATTTTTGAGACGCCTCAAAAATAGACTCCTCACACTGATACGATGCGTGCCCTTTTCCCCGCTTCGCTTTCCTGCTTCCATGTCTCCTTAGTCTTGCTAGACCACTGCCATGCCTCTCAGGTCCCAGACATCCTCACAGCACCCAACGACATCCTCCCCCTTCCTAACTTCCCCTCACCTCCAGCCTAACGAGAGTCTGTACGACCAGAAGCCAGTGGAGGCAGCGCCCAAAGTGGGCGTGGTGGAGCCCAAGCCGTCGCGCTTCACGTATAACGAGGCCTCCTCGCAGCCAGGCGCCGGATCGGGCAGAGGCGGCCATGTAGCCGCGCCCGTGGCGTCTGGGGATTTCTTCAATGGCTTCTCGGGAAGGATCGGGGCTGTCCCCAGCAACAGGCCTAAGCCCCCACCTCAGGTAGAGGGCCCAAGTCCCCGTCTCAGGTGCACTCTGCTTAGAGGGGTGCTGCTTGCAACCGTTTGTAGGTCCGTTTGACGTGTCAGAGTTCTCCGTGTAGACGTTTTGTCTAATAGTGGCACGGGAGGTCTATTATAACAAAGAACTCGCTCCTTGGGAATTACCGCTGCTTTGACCAATGCAATTGTTCGCCTCCCCTCTTCGTGGCTTTCAGCCGATTGAGGAGTCAGACGAAGCCCGGAGGAAGTTCGCTGGGGCCAAGGCGATTTCGTCGCAGCAGTTCTTTGACCGGGATAACAAGGAGCTGCAGGCGCAGAACCAAGAGCGGCTGCAGAAGTTCCAGGTGCGTAAGGGGAAAGCTACTATCTCATGGTATTTTTAGAATGTGAGAGAGTGCGAATGCTAGAACGGGACGTCGCAGCAGTTCTTTGGCGGGGATAACCAGCAGTTGCAGGCGCAGAACCAAGTGTGGCTGCAGAGCCAAGGAGTTCCAGTTAGGCAGATCCACTGGGTTGGAGGATCGAACTCGTGACAGTGTTGATGCCTCTTCTGGGTGATTGGAAAGCGAGATAGTGCAGGCAGAGAAGCATGTGTGCAGGCAGAGAAGCATGTGTGCAGGCAGCGAAGCATGTGTGCAGGCAGCGAAGCATGTGTGCAGGCAGAAAAGCATGTCTGTACGGAGACACGGGGAAGTTTCCCTTGGTGATGGGGGGATTGATTACACAGAGGGGCCGATGAAACGGGGTAGTGACCACGTGTCACAATGGGTGGTGGGGAACGGTGCAAGGCGTTGCTGGGTGGCTCGAGGAGTGGACAGATTGAAGATGGGTCTGGATTGAGAACAGTCCAGATTTCACTGTGAAGTTTGGAAAGAAAGGGAGGGTCATTGCTGATGGGGATGCTTTTGTCGACTGGAAATTTAACAGGGTTCTGCTGGGTGGCTGGTATGGTGGACGGATTGAAGATGAGTCGGGATTGAGAACACGATCCATATTCCACCGTGAAGTTTGGAAGGAAAGGGAAGGTCATTGCTGATGGGGATCTTTTAGTCGACTAAATCATCCTTAGGGTTCTGCTGCTGGTTGGCTCGTGGATGGACGGATGGAGCACGAGTCTGGATTGAGAGTGCACAGACCGAATTCCTCTGGAGAGATTCGAAGGAAAGGGAGGGACTTTGTGGATGGGGATAGGGTATAGTGACATGGGGGATGAGCGCACAGTATGGTTCATTGTGTGAGAACAAAACTCGGAAGATAATCATCCTCCCATCCCCTCCCCCCCCCCCCCCCCCCCCCAATTCACTTTGCCCCTGATCAGTTTTCCTACCCCCAGCCCCTTCCCCTTCCCCTGTCACTTACTCCAATCTCGTCCTTCCCATCCATTCTCCTTCCCCTCCCCCTTCCCCTCTCCCCCCTCCCCCCCCTCCACCCCCACCTCCCCCCTCGCCCATGCGTCCAGAACTCGTCGTCCATTTCCAGTGCGGCGTTCTTTGATCGGGACGAGGGCAACCAGGGCGGCGGCGGGGAGGGCTCTCTGGATAGCGTTGCTGCGGACCTACTGGGAGGGCTTTCCGTTGGGGTAAGTGTCACATTGTCAGGGTGATTGTCAGGGTGTCACGTTATCAGGGTGTCACATTGACAAGGTTTTACATTAACAGGGTGTCACGTTGTCAGGGTGTCACATTGTCGGGGTGTCACGTTGTCAGGCATCTTCTATGTTGCTGTTGAGGCATGTCATCATCCCTTTCCGAAAGCCATCTGAATCTGAATGTGGTTTACCAGTATTCTACGTTGTCACGCGCAGGCTGCAGCCGAGCAGCCCAAGCAAGCAGGCTCGTACGCCATTTGCCTCAAGCATCCTGGCTGTCCCGCTTGACAAAACCCCTTTTCCACTCTCTCTGCTATCTTATGCGCTTTTCTAATGGCAGGCTGTGGCAGAGCGGACCGAGCAGGCTCTATCGTCGTTTGTCTCAAGCATCCTTGCTGACTGGCGCGCCTAAGCCCTTCTTCATTTATCTCTCTCTTCCCTTCTTCACTTACCACCGTCTTCACTTATTCCGTTTGCGAATGGCAGGCTGTGGCAGAGCAGACTGGGCAGGCTCTATCATCCTTCGCCTCCAGCATCCTGGCTGACCTACAGGACCGAATCCGATAGGCTGGCTGTGGGTGAGGGGAGGAGCTGCTGCATTGGGAAGACTTCTAAATTCACAGAAACATGTGGCACACTCGTACGGTACATCTTGCGCGTGACCATACCAACGCCAGTGGTTGTGGTGCCCTTTTCTTTCGCATTTGCCAGCAGACAACCACCGGATCACCCTGTCACATGTCCATGCCAGCACATGCGTGGGTAAGAGAGGCTCTCATACGCAGTAACGTAGGAAAGGGCATAGTGGATTGCATTGGGGATGGAGGTAAGGTTGTAGTTCACTACAGAACACAGCACATGGGGTGCCTTACGTTGACATGGTTGCATGTTGCAATGTGCACAGAGAACCACCTGCTTATTGATGTGAGTGAATTGGGATAACCTTAGATTTGTAGACCATATCAATGTTTCGAATACAATAATTTCATTCTTCGAGTGTACCATACGTGACATCATGTGCATGTCCGAAGCACACCTTCACTAAAAAGTGTGCAAATTGCTACAGCTAAATGTCCATAGCTACATTTGCCCCTATACCAGGCACCAACAAAGGTGCCCTTCAAATAACAACATTAACAAGATAATCTACGGGTAGCATTCCAGCTAGAAGACTCAGGATGGTGGCTTTACTGTAGAAGTAGGTGCTGGATAATCTTGTGGGTCGAGATGGAGAGGCTTTAAGAGGGGCTGCTTAGGGCTGGAGAGGAGATGGGGAGGTGGGAGGCTTCAGATCCGGGTACTGTGGTGGGCAGATTTCACGGGGGGGAGGGGGACGCAGGGAAAGAATTGTAGGGAGACAGGAGGTGGATATGAGGGACAGAGGGGGGAGGAGAACGAGCAGGGGGGTGGGGAAAAAGGGGGGGGGAGGGTTGAGGGGGAGGGGAGGAAGGCGTTGACATGGAGCGACGACGGAACTTACCATAGGATAGGGAGAGAGGGATCGATTGGCATAAGGCAGATCTGTCGTGTTTGGAGCAGCAGCAGCCGCCTTTGAAGGCACCTTGCATTGAGGTGTAGAGATGCTTAGACTTACCGTAGGATAGGGAGAGAGGGGTCGATTGGCATAAGGCAGATCCGACGAGTTTGGAGCAGCTGCAGCAGCGGCAGCTGTGGCAGAAGCAGCAGCGGCAGTGGCAGCGGCGGCAGAGACAGTGGCAGCAAGAGCAGCAGCCGCGGTAGCAGCATCAACCAGCGCAGCTACAGGGTTCACAGGCTCGGCAGCAGGAGCAGGGGAAGCGATCGGGGGAGCCAGAGCAGGAGCAGCAGCAGCCGTAGCAGTAGTTGCTGCAGTTGCAGCAGCAGCAGTGGCAGCAGCAGCGGTGGCAGTGGCGGCAGCAGCAGCAGCCGCAGTAGCAGCATCAACTACAGGTGTAGCCGCAGCTACAGTGGCTGGTGCAGCAGCAGCAGCAGCAGGAGTGGGGGAAGGGGCAGCAGCAGCGGCAGAGACAGCAGCAGCAGTGGTGGCGGCAGCAGCTGCTGCAGCAGCGGCAGAAGAGACAGGTGCTGCTGGGGAAGGGGAGGTTGGAGGCCTGAGATCCTCATACTGGGAGTATGGGGAAAGGGGCGTCACAGGGGCAGGCAAGGCTGTAGATTCTGCCACAGCAGCAGCCACAGCGGCAGTGGCAGCAGCAGCAGCGGATGTAGCACCAGCTGCAGCAACTGTAGCTGCCGCTCCTGCTGCTGCTACAGCCGGGTCAACAGCCACGGCAGGCGCCGAAGCGACGGGTGCAGGGTCAGCAGCAGGCACGGCGGCAGGTGCGGCAGCAGGTGCGGCAGCAGGCTCGGCAGCTGGGGCTGAAACCTCAGCAGGTTTGGCAGCAGTGGTTGATGAGAGGGGAGTTGGTGGGGAGGGGGTTGGTGACGTGGGGGGCATCAGGTCCGGGTACTGGTGGAAGGAGGGAGGGATGGGGAGCATGGGAGGAAGCAGGGAACGGGCGATTCAATGAGTGCGACGGGGACGTGGGGGGCTTCACGTCCGGGTACTGATGGAAGGAGGGAGGGATGGAGTGTATGGGGAGAGCAGTGGTTGGGGACCCAATGAGTGAGCTGCGTGGGAGTGAGGGAGAAGGGAGAGTGGGAGAGGGGAGTGAGGGAGAGGGGAGAGTGGGAGAGGGGAGTGAGGGAGAGGGGAGAGTGGGAGAGGGGGTAAGGGTGGAATGTTAAGGGGAGAGGGGGGGATGAGATTGCGAGCTGACTGACACATGATTCTGTGTGTGCTGCCGTGAGCTTACCAGGGAATAGGGAGAGGAAGGTTTGTTGTTACAGGTGCAACTGGTGCAGGCTCAACCGCGGGGAAGACATTGACACGGTGACTGTGTGCATGCTGCTGTGAGCTTACCAGGGAGTAGGGGGAGAGAGGCCTGTTGGCATAGGGCAGGTCTGAGACAGGCGCAACTGGGGAAGGTTCAACTGCTGCAGGTGCTGCTGCTGCTGGTGCTTCTACTACAGCTGGTGCAGGGGTGGGTGGCATGGCAGGAGGCTCGGCAGCAGGCTTGGCAGGAGGCTCGGCAATAATGGCAGCATTGGAGGCGGGAGGAGTGGGGGGGGATGGGCATGGTGAGGTGGGTGGCTTGAGATCCGGGTACTGAAAGGGGGGAGAGAGAGGGGAGGGGGGGAGAGAGAGGGGAGGGGGGTAGGAGGGAGAGAGGGGAGAATATTGGGCAACAGGGGAGAAGGGCATGGTGAGGTGGGTGGGACTGAGGTCAGGGCACTGAGAGGGATGAGGGATGGGGAATGGGGAATGAGTAGAGAGTGAGAGGAGTGGGAGAGAGAGGGTTAGCAGCCTCTGTAACAGGGAATAGGGAAAGATATGTTTGTTGGGACAGGTGCAACTGGTGCAGCTTCAACTGCGGACAAGACAAGACAATGACATGATGACTATGTGCATGCTGCCATGAGCTCACCAGGGAATAGGGAGAGAGAGGCCTGTTGGCATAGGGTAGATCTGAGACAGGTGCAACCGGGGCAGGTTCAACTGCTGCCGGAGTTGCTGCTGCTGCTGGCACTGCTGCTGCTGCTGGTGCTTCAACTGCTGCTGCTGCTGGCAATGTTGCTGCTGCTGGTGCTTCAACTGCTGCTGCGGCAGCGGGTGCCCCGGCAGCAGGTTCAGCAGCAGGCTTGGCAGGAGGCTCGGCAACGGCAGTATCATTGGAGGAGGGAGGAGTGGGGGGGGATGGGCAAGGCGATGTGGGTGGCTTGAGGTCGGGGTACTGAGAGACAGGGAAGGGGGGAGGGTGATGGGGAAGGGGGGAGGGTGATGGGGAAGGGGGGGAGCGGGGTGGGGGGGTGATGGGGAAGGGGGGGAGCGGGGTGGGGGGGTGATGGGGAAGGGGGGGAGCGGGGTGGGGGGGTGATGGGGAAGGGGGGAGCGGGGTGGGGGGGGTGATGGGGAAGGGGGGAAGCGGGGTGGGGGGGGTGATGGGGAAGGGGGGGAGCGGGGTGGGGGGGTGATGGGTAAAGGGGGGGAGTGAGTGGAGAAAGGGGGAGGAGGAGGCAGGGGCAAGAGGAAGTGGATTCATGACTAAGTGGGAAAGGGGGCAACAGAAATGTTTGGTTGGGAATTGAGGGAGAGGGTTAGCAGGTGAGACAGGAAGAGAGATGCGTACCTACCAGGGCGTAGGGAGTGAGGTGTATGTAGCAGTCTGCGCGGGAGATGACTCACCAGATTGAGTCGACTCAAAAGTCTACCAGGGCGTAGGGAGTGAGGTGTATGTAGCAGACTGGGCGGGAGATTACTCACCAAGGCGTAAGGAGAGAGGCACGAGAAAACGAGACGATTTCGACTCGACTCGTTCTTTACCCGAGTCGAGTCGCTGGATTTTGCTTGCCGAATCGATTAAAGTGAGTCGATTCACGCTTTTTACTCGACTTGACTTGCTAAGAGTGTTGAGTCAGAATCGAGTCGACGAGTCGACTCCGACTCGATCGATTCAGGTCCAAACTCGTATAGAGAGACTGAAGGCTGGTGCCCTCGTTGTAGCGCCAATCATTGTAAAACGAGTCGAGTCTCAAGGCAGCCTGACTGGGTACCGAGTCAGCCAAAACAAGTCACGAGTCGGAGAATCGCCTGGGCTGACTCGAGACGAGTCCAGTCTGACTCGACTCGTTTTGTGCCCGACTCGGTGGCGACTCGTGAGTCGTGACGAGTCGAGTCGAGTCGAATCGTTGCTCATGCCTCAGAGAGGCATCTAGCAGTGAGACGATGAAGGAAAAGACTTACCAGGGCGTAGGGAGAGAGAGGACGGTTGGCGTAGGGTAGGTCAGATACGCCTGACTCGGCCTTGGGTGCAGCAGCAGCAGCAGCAGCAGGAGGAGGAGGAGCGGGAGCAGCAGGAGTAGCAGCAGCAGGAGCGGCAGGAGGAGCAGGAGCAGCAGCAGGGGGAGCAGGAGCAGCAGGAGCAGGGGAGACAGGGGCAGAGGCAGCGGCAGCAGCAGCAGCAGCAGCAGCAGCAGCAGGTGAGGGAGCGGGAATGGCTGGAGGGGAGGCTGATGCTGCAGCTGCTGCAGGCTTTGCAGCCACAGCGGGAGCAGAAGCAGCAGCAGCGGGAGCAGGAGATGCAGCAGGAGCAGGAGCAGGAGCAGGTGCAGGAGGAGCAGTGGTGGTGGCAGCAACTGTCTCCTTAGGCGGGCTGAGAGCAGGGGTTTCAGTTGCAGCGATTTCCTGAGGAGGGCTGAGAGCCGGGAAGTCGGCACCCTCTGGCAGGTACTTGCGCAGCTGCGCCAAGGTTTGCTCGCGATCCTGTGAGAGGGAGGGAGGGAGGGGAGAGGAAGGGGGATGGGTTTCTCTCCATGTGCGGTGCATTCAGTGCCGCAAGACAGCGTTGGGTGTTGGTTCGCATTTCAATGGGAAACTTGCTCATTTACCCTTCTTTGCAGGGGGTTCCGTTTCAATTGCACTCGCCTTGGCTCATGGACCCACCTTGGCGACCCACCTTGGCGACCCACCTTGAACAGCAGGTGTGCTGCATGGACTGCTCGAGAGCCACCGAGGCAACTGGAGTGATGACCTGGTTCCCGGCAATGGGTAACCTGGTTCATTTACCCACCTTTGAGAGGGGTTACTCTTTGCAGTAGCCCACCTTGGCGAAGAGCAGCTTGGTGGCGATGAACTGCACGAGAGCCACCGAGGCGACCAGAGTAATGAGCGCCTCTCCCTGAACGGGAAGAGAAAAGCGGGGAGAGAGGAGGGAGAGGGGGGAGAGGGGGGAGAGGGGGGAGAGGGGGGGGGGAGAGGGAGGGGGGAGAGGGGGGAGAGGGGGGAGAGGGGGGAGAGGGGGGAGAGGGGGGAAAGGACTTAGCACAAGACGATGCACAGTGCATACTTTTTGAACACCACCCACCCTCAATGGAGAGCCTACCAGCAGCGTGGACAAGATGCCAATGGGAAACTACCTCCATAGGAATTAACCCAAGCACTGAACCCAAGCACTGAACCCAAGCACTGAACCCAAGCACTGAACCCAATCACTGAACCCAATCACTGAACCCAATCACTGAACCCAATCACTGAACCCAATCACTGAACCCAATCACTGAGAGCGAGAACAGCACACCACCTCACTCCAGCAACCCAACCCAAACCAAGCACCCAACCATGCGCACCTCCGCAATGACTGCTACGGAGAGCCCGGCAGCAGCGAGAATGCCGATGGCAGCAGGCGCTGCTGACGCTGCTGCCGACGCTGCTGTTGATGCTCCGGTCTGGATGAAAGAGGCAATGGAAGAAGGGGGGGGGGGGAGGAGAAGGAGAAGAGAGGGTTGAGGAGCAGCAAGGAATGCTATGGCTGCCGACGCTGCTGTTGACGCCCTGGCCTGGACAGCCAGAGGGGGAGAGGAGAGGGAGCAGGGGAACGAAAGGAGGGGAGGGGGAGAGGGTTGACAGGAAGCGCATGGTGAGCACCCCGGGCAACCGACATTATAGGGGCGTCGCAAAGGCAGAGGGATTTCTTAGAATTCTCAAAAGCCTATCACAGAGGGGTTGGCAGCAGTCAAACATGAAATCTGTCTCCATGTTTCGTTACCCGCTTATAACCCATTATATGCGCACCTCAACGCTGCTGAAGACCTCCTTCACTGTAGACACGGACTCCTCCAGGTTGATACCGAGGTTGATTTTAGGGAGGACAGGGAGGACAGGCGTGGGCAGGCGGAAGCCCGGCTTCTTCCAGGGCAGCCCCGCCTCCTGCAAGGGGGAAGTGGGAGGGGGGGGTTGGGGGGACGGACGGGGCGGAGGGGCGGAAGGGGCGGAAGAGGGGGAGGGGGGGAGTTGGATTTGGAGGGAAGTTTGAGAGAGAGAGGGTGCGCGGGCAGGCGGAAATCCGGCTGCGAGGGACCTTCCAAGGCAGCCCCGCCTCGTGTGCAAGCGTGCAAGGCGGGAGAAAAGGGGAGTTGGGGGAGGGGGGATGTAAATGTATCCTACTCATCCTGGTGTAGTAGTTTCGTTTTGATACGACTCAACAAGTTGCTAAAAGTTGGTTTTTGCTGACACGTTGCTGCTCGCCCGATTCATATGGCTTCAATTCAAAGCCGTGGATGATACGTCGCTAAGCAGCCGTGGAACGGCCTATTCCTGTTCTGAGCTTATTTTTGAGTCGACTCAAAAATAGACTCATTACACGCCTATTCCTGTTCTGAGCTTATTTTTGAGTCGACTCAAAAATAGACTCATTACACGCCTATTCCTGTTCTGAGCTTATTTTTGAGTCGACTCAAAAATAGACTCATTACACGCCTATTCCTGTTCTGAGCCGCCCGCCTCAAAGCTCGTTTTGCTCCCAAATGTTTCGTTTCCGCAAAATGTTTTCGCCCGTACCAGCCTGAAAATCTCTCCCCCCGCCAATACTTGCCTGCCACGCGTCCGCTCCTCCCGCGACGGCGAAGACCTGCTTAAAGCCCGCTGACGTCAGCTGCTTCGCGACATCCACGGCGTCCTCGTCCGCCCTGGAGAGGAGATTAAGGAGAGGAAGAAACGAGGACGCTTTTTGAAGGAGTGCCATCGAAAAGGGAGGGTCCAACGAGAATAACTAAAGGGAGGGTCCAACGAGAGAACAGCAGTCGCATCGCATCGCTTCAAGACAGTATTCAATGCCACCCACATACTTATCAATCACGATGATGGTCGACCCAGCCGAGACGGCTTTAATCTCCTTCACCGCATCGACGAACCCCTCCTTAATCTCCCCCAATACAATCACCTCATCGTCCTCCCCATCCCCCTCCCCCTCCTCCGCCTTCCGCTTCACCGAATCCTCGCGGTACGCCAGCGCCACCAGCCGCTTCGGCGAGCTCTTCAGCGTCGGGTTACCCGACCGGCTTCGCTCCTTGGCGTCGCGAATGTCCAGCAGAACAACCGCCTCGCCCTCCTCCTCCCACTCCTCCGCCGCTTTTTCCGCCACCTTTTCCAGAGCCGCTTCGGGGGTTAGATCGCCCGCGTACCGCTTTTTCAAGAGAGACGAGAACGCGCCCACCAGAAGCGCCGTCGCTCCCGCTGCGCCTGCGAACACGAGAGCCACTTCGGCGTCGAATACGGCGGCAGATGCGGCGGCGGGTGCGGCGCTGGTGAAGAGGTCCGCGACTCCAGCCGCTGCAGAAGCGGCGGCAGACGCGGCGGCGGACGCGGCTTCAGTCACCGCGGCAGGTGCGGCGGCAGATGCGGCGGCGGAGACGGCGTCAGACACAGCGGCAGCGGCGACGCTAACGGTTTCCGGGGCGGAAGTTGCGGCGGCAGTGACGGCGTCTGTCACGGCGGAAGGTACGGCGGCAGAGACGGCGTCGGACACGGCGCCAACAGCGGCGCTAGCAGCCTCCCCAGCGGCGGATGCGGCGGCGGCGGCTCCGGCGGCCTCCCCACCGGATGTGGCATTAACGGGCCCAGAGGCTGCGGCGGATGTGATTGTAACGACAGAGCGTTGGATGGCCTTCCCGGCGATCTGCTCGTAGCGGGAGACCGCGTCTGAATCGACGGCGAGCGCCGCCGGCGCGGTTAGCGCAGCGAGCGCGGATGTAGCGGCGGCTACGGCTGCCGCTACAGCCGCCGAAGCCGCCTGAAAGGTGAAGGCGATCGGTGGAAGGCCTTGCGACGTATTTGGCCGCGACAGTTTTGACGGGACATCCTGCGACAAATCTGATTGGCGGGCGACGGCGCGCGACGTGAGCGCGGAATGTCGCTGGAGCTTCGCTGACGCGGCTGCCGCGTGGGCGATAAGCGGCAGCGGAACCAGCGACGCGAGCTGATACGCGGTCAGGCTCATCCTCCCACGGGAAAGAACGGGTCCGGCAGCGGATAGATTAGAATGGCGGGGTAAAATGCGGTGAGACGAGGTGCGCGTCGGTTTGCAGAGGGCAGGAAGGCCTGCGACTAGGTGGCCGGCGCAGTGCGACGTTGCGGGAAGGCTAAGCGCCATTTTCGCTGGCTATGCGACCTGCCGAAAAGTTGAAAAACAAGGGTAAAGGCTTGTTAAACAGCACAGGTGGCAATAAGGCTAGAGTAGCCAGAAGCAGCTCAGCGCCGGTCAACCCGCGGCAGTCACACTGTGCGGCAATACCAAGGCAACGAAACCAGGCGAACTTACGGAATAAGCGACTAAATTGGGGCTCTAACGACATTAGCAAGGAACGGGTGAGGTGAGGTTCACAGTGAACTTCGGGATTCACCACACTGTACCGTACTCAGCCGCTTCCAAACCCCAATGGTCAGAGCAGAAAAAGAAAGGGATAGGGCAGGGAACAAGCAAAGGCACGTGGAAAGTGGGGACAATTCCCAAGAATGGTGAATCTTCGAAGCGCTTCGCCTTGCTGGCGACCCTGGAGAAGCCTTCACCACGCAGAATGCTTGCGAGATGACAAGAAAAGCTGACCTGGCAAGCTGCGCCCTTGAAAGGAAACCAGGTTGTGGCGCGGATTGATTCTCGCACTCAGCCAATGATCCTGATGCAAATCATGCCACGTGGAAGATCACGATGGGGTTTCGAGGAAAAGTACGACGCTCGCGAAAGGCTAGGATCCCCCAGCGAAAGCAACAGTGGGGGCAGAAGTACGATTCCGCGTTGCTCCGCTAATGCAGCTCCGCTGAGCTGAGAGTCATCAGACCCTTATGTCAACAAACGCCTCGCTTAGGATACTTGAAACGAATGCTTTAAGTGCACCGCACTTCCACAGCACTACATTCCAATGCAAGCCACAGACAAAAAAATGAGAGGGGGTTCAATGCACGCATATTCATACCTAAAACTTAGTTGCAACTGGGATCTGAGAGTGTTGCGTTTGCAACAATAAACGCCTCACTCCCACGACGACTAGGGGCAAAAGCAGCAGCAGTACCAGGGCCAGCAGCAGCAGCAATAGAAGCAGCAATGAGTGCACGGCTGGAAGCATCCATAGGGGCAGTTATTGAACGACGAGCAGCCGCAGAGGCCGGAGAGGCATCTAGAACAGCAGAGGCAGGAGAAGTGGCAGCAGCAGTGGCAGCAGTGGAGAGTGCTGGCCTCGGCTGTGGCAGATTGGCCTCGGAAAGGGGTCTGAGCCTCGCCACTTCTCTGCGGAGATCCTGTGAAAGAGAGGGGGGAAGGGGATGGGGATCGGGAAGTGTGAAAACAAGAACAGCAGAAGCAGGAGCAGTGGCAATAGCAGTGGCAGTAGCAGTGGCAGTAGCAGTAGCAAGTGGCAGTGGCAGTAGCAGTGGCAGTAGCAGTGGCAGCAGCAGTGGCGGCAGTGGAGAGTGCTGGCCTTGGCTGTGGCAGATTGGAGTCAGATGGAGGCCTGAGCCTGGCCGCCTCTTAGAGGAGCCGCTCGAAATTTTCGTCTCGGCGAATTTCCGCACCAGCGCATATCGTGCCAGCGCACTCCGCGCCAGCGCATTTCGCCAGCGCATTTCGCGCTGCCCATCCCTCGCTCGGCGCCAACTGCGCCTGCGCGCTCCCGCTCCCCTTCCCCGCTCTGCTCGTCGCAACTACCGCGCAGGTCCCACCACGTCGCGACAGGCGCACCCACCTCTCCCTCCCCGCTTTCGTCTCTACGACCGCCACCAGTGCCGCCGCTGCCTTCGTCCCTGCCACTCGCCGCTGGTGCCTTCATCACTGCCTCTCGCCGCCACTGCCTTCGTCCTCTCCTCGCCCGCCGCCACTGCCGTCGTCGCCTCCACAGCTGCTCCAGCTTCCCCACCGCACCACCTCCTCCGCCGCTGCACCACCTCCTCCGCCACTGCACCACCTCCTCCGCCGCTGCACCACCTCCTCCGCTCATGTACCACCTCCTCCGCCGCTGCACCACCTCCTCCGCTCATGTACCACCTCCTCCGCCGCTGCACCACCTCCTTCCCCGCTGCACCACCTCTTCCGCCACTACACCACCTCCTCCCCCGCTGCACCACCTCTTCCGCCGCTGCCCCACCTCCTCCTCTACTACACTCACACCATGGCGGCCGATACACCCATTATCAATATGAGCTCCATCGACCGACTTGACCTTCGCGACGGCACCACCCCGGTCAACTGGCATTCTTTCGCACAAAGCCTCCACACTCTCCTCAGCTCCACCGTCATCAACGGTTACTACCTTTCCGACATCGTCTTCGGCAAACCGAAAGGAAGGGAGCCGACAGCACCGGTTCAGCCCTCCTAGCCCCCATTCAGGTCCGGCTCCTGTCGCGTCGCGTCTACCGGCCTACATCGACAATCCGGACCGATGGGCGCGCACCATGAACGCCTACACCCAGGAGCATCACGCATATGTTGTCCAGCACGAGGCCTACGAAGCTGCACTTGCGGCACACACGGCTAGCTCCAATTTGCGTCAGGTTCAGGAAGCCGCCGCCGCTCGGTGCGCTGCCGATACCAGTGAGCACAACGCTCAATTTGCTGGCTGGCGCGTTGCTCACATAAAATCCCTCAATCTCTTAAGCGTGCGCTCTGTCCCTCGAATGCTGCTCTCCTTTGGAACCAGCTCACTCATGATTATGACCGCCAGGACCTGCGCTCCCTCCTTCACCTGCACTGCGAATTTCATGCTATCACCCTTGAATCCTGCCCTAATGCTGCCACTTTCACCCTCCGCCTCACAGACACAGCCAATCGCCTCAGCGAACGAGGAGGCGCCATCAATGACTCGGGCGCCTCCTGGACGGCCTCACCCCCGCCTATGCCACCCACAAGATTGCCTTCACCAATCCCCTCCGTGAACCACTCACATCCGCCCGAGTTATCGAGTGGATCCTTGAGACGGAGGCAGGCCTCAACGATACCACCACCAGAGTCAATTCCGCCAAGACTGGGGGAGGACGTGGTGGCGGACGTGGTGGAGGGCGCGGCAATGACGGACGCGGTGGTGGCCGAGGAGGCGGACGTGGTGGCGGTCGTGGCACTCCCTCCTCCTCCCCCTCTGGAACCCTTCCCCCATGCCAATACCTCATCCGCTATGGCTCCCTCAAAGGTCAGCGCTGCAATCAGACCACTCACTCTGCTGCCACCTGCTTCAAATGTCTCACAGATGAATGGTTTGCTCGTGGCAACCACGGATCTCCTCTCCGCTGGTCAACTATCATCCCTCACCCCACTCCTCACGAGGTAAGAACCTTGCCAGCTTATCAGCCCTTCACCTCCAACCTGCACCAGGTCCTCGTCAGGCCCTCCAGCAGGTACAGCACCTGCTACCACCCTCCTCCACTCCTCCACCCTCCACCTACCCCCCACAGCAACATGTCCACCAGCAGCCGCCGCTTCAGCAACCCACCTGGCCGTCCCAGCCATATCAGCCGCAGCCGCTGCAGCACCCCCAACAGCACCTATTGCCGCAGTACCAGCAACACTACCAGCTCCCCACCACTCCTCCTCCCTCGGCACCCCCCCCCCCAGCCGCCGGCTCATTGGGAACATGGCAATGCTGTCGCTGCAGCTCACTTGGCTGGGTACCCTACTAGCTCTACTCCCCCAGGCTTCTTGCCTTTTCCGTCTACTAGCTTTGTCGGTCAAGTCACTAAATCCCCTCCTGTTCCCGCTTCCACTCCTGTGTATGCTGATGCTATTAATACCACCTCGTTCCAGTACTCCGCGCCCCCCACCATTGACTTTCTCATAGACAGAGGTGCAACTGACACCGTCTTACGCGACGCAGGTTCTCTAACCCGCCTCCCCGTCCCCTCCGCCGTCCTAGGTGCCGGCTCCAGCTTTTCCGTCCTCAGTCACCATGCCTCCACTCTTCCATGCGCCCTCTTTCCCTCAGGTAACGTCACAAGACTTCATATCCCATCCGTCCGCACTAACCTAAACACGCTCCCAACACGCTCTTCAAAAAGCCGGCGCCACCACACTCTATCCAGGTTTTTCCTCCCACTGTGACCTCTATCACACACACACTGGTAAACTCCTTTCTCGTGTACCCCTTTGCCCCTCCACCCGATGTTCACATTCCGGTCCCCCCGCCCCTCCCACTGTCACGCTGTCAACCACAACCCACCACCCCCCCTCTTCCCCGTCACTCCTCCTAACCCACCTCCCCAACCTCCCCCCGACCTTCTACCTTCCCAATGTCACTGCCGTGACCTTTCCCATCCCGCTGTCCTTCTCCATCACCGCCTTGGACACCATAACTTTGCCACCCTCCACAAATCCATTGCCTCGCATCTCCTCCTTGGTCTCCCCCTTACACCCCCCCCCCCCGTCCTCCCTCCCCCGCCCCTCCATGTCTCATCTGCACGCAAAGCAAGCTCAAACAAAGCCCTCACAAAAGCAAACCCACCTTTTCCCCGGCATCGACCTGGTCCACACAGACCTCCTGGGCCCCAACCCGACTCCCACTCGCCAAGGTCATCGCTACCTGCCCCTCCTAGTGGATGATCACAGTTGGTACACCTGGGCCAAACTGCTAAGGCCGAGGTCTCAGCTGCCATCATCACCTGGGCCAAGCAGGCACGGACCCACTTCGGACGTCCTGTCCACCGCCTCCACTCGGACGGCGGAGGCGAGTTCCTTAATCACACCCTCTCTAACTATTGCACCACCCACGGCATCCGCCACATGTTCACCCTTCCCCACCCCCCCAGCATAATGGCGTGGCAGAAAGCAAGGTCTGTGAGATCACCGAGATTGCTCGGTGTCTCCTTGTCCATGCCTCCTGCCCACCCTCCCTCTGGGGCTATGCCCTCCTGCACGCCGCCTATCTCCTTAACCTTTACCCCCATGCCCACACCCCCTCCACCACTCCCACTGAACTTTGGAACTCCTCAAAGCCAGACATCCGTCCCCTTCGTGTCTGTTGGTCCAAGGCCTACGTCCTAATCCTCCCCCCTGGCCGCTCTCGCACTGCCGGCAAACATGCCTCTCGCATCTTCCTTGGTTTCAACTCTGACTCTCCTAACTACCTATTCCTCCACCCCCCCTCGGGTCGCCTTATCCGTAGTCGCGATGTCACATTTGACAAATCCACACCCTGCTACCCCTCCACCCCTTCCACTGATCCCTTCCCCCGTAACCCATCCCCTCCTCTAGACCAACACCGTCGCCCCACCCCTTTTCCCTCCCCTCCCACTCCTTCCCCTCCCCCCACCCGTCCCTCCTGCCCTTGCCCTTAACCCCGCCCCCGCTCCTGCCCCCTCATCCTCCTCCTCAGGAGATATCCTTGACCCCGTGCTTCTCCCCTCCCCCTCCCCCTCGTCTAACCCTACCCGCTCCCAATCTAGAGCTCCCTCCCCACCACCTCCTCCCCCACCTCTCCCACCTCCCCCACCTCCTCCTCCGCGCCTCCCCTTCCGACCCCACACTCGCTCGCTCGACTCCCTCATTGGTGCTCCCCCCCCTTCACCGAGTCCTCAACACCTTTGCCTCCTCCCCGCAACCCTCCCTTCCCCCCAAGATTATTCCCGAGGTTTCTCCACCGCGTGCACCCGCTTTCGGCAGCACCCTTCACCTCTCGGCGCCGATTCGACCTCGCGCTCTTCGCACCACCCTTCATCTCCAGGCGCCGACCCACGTCCCCCAGCCTCCTCCGCCTCAACTTCAGTGCAACTCCACCAGCCCCAACACCTCCCTCTCTTTCCCCCCTTGTTCAAGTGGATGCTCATGAAGAGATCCTCACGCTCCATCACCTTAACCCGCTCCTCGTGCCAATCCCCTTCAGCATCGCGTGCACCCTTATCTTTGTCTTCTCCGGCGCCCCAACCATCTTCAAACCTGGCACCTACGAGGAGGCGATGGCGTGCCCTGATGCAGCCCGCTGGCTTGAGGCCATCATAAGGGAACTGCAGGCATTCATACGCAATTGCTCCTTCATCGATGTCCTCCGCCCGTCCCGTGCTAATGTGGTCCGCGGCAAGTGGGTGTTCCGAGTCAAGCTGTTACCTGGGGAGTCAAGCTGTTACTTGGGGGGCTTCCATCTCCCCTTCGACCCCTCCACTGTGTGGGAACTCAAGCAGCCCGTCAACAGCCTGAAGCAAGCACCCCGAGAGTGGCATGCCAAGCTTTCTTCCACCCTTCGCGACCTGGGCTTTCGCCTCCCAGGCCGCCTCCTGCCTCTTCCTTCGCACCTCCCCCTCACCCTTCTACATCCTCGTCTATGTTGACGATATGATCTTGACCGCCTCCAACGATGCAGACTTGCAACAAGTCAAGGACGAACTGCAATCACATCTTGCGTGCAAGGACCTAGGAGAGGTTCGCAACTACCTTGGCATGGAGATCACTCGCGACAAGGAAGCACGCACGATCTCGCTCTCCCAGTCGTACTACATTGAGAAAGTGCTCGAGCGCTTCGAGATGTCGCAGGCCAAGCTTGTCTCCACCCCTCTTGATGTCAACCACCAGCTCGCACCCCCCGCCTCCTCTGACGACCCCTACGCTGAGCTCGTGGGTCCCTGATGTACGCCATGGTCTGCACTCGCCCCAACCAGGCCTACCCCATCAGTGTCCTTGCCCGATTAATTGGCTCCGACAAGCACTCTGAAGCACATTGGAAGGCAGCCAAGCGTGTTCTTCGTTACCTTCGAGGAATCAAGGAATATGTCCTTACGCTCGGCGGTCGCACCCCACCCACCCTCACCGGCGTCAGCGACTCCTCATGGGCCGACTCCCAGCCCGATTGTTGCAACTCCCAGGGGTATGGCTTCACCTTGGGAAGTGGCCTCATCAGCTGGCGCTCAACCCGCTCCACCTCCATTGCCCTCTCCTCCTATGAAGCCGAACTCTATGCCGTTACCATGGCTGCACAGGAAGCTCGCTGGCTCGGCTACCTTCTCGGGGAGCTTGGTGCCCCTCAGCCCTGCCCCACCATCTGGTGCCATAATGCCAGCACGATACACCTCACCAAAGAAGCAGTTTTCCATGGCTGCTCCAAGCACATCGAGCTCCGCCACTACTTCGTTCGCGAACTCGTCCAAGCCGGCCATCTCACAGTCTACAAGATTGACTCCTCTGCCAATCTTGCTAACATCTTCACCAAGGCTCTCCCTCGCATTCCTCACTCCCTCCTCCTCGGCCTCCTAGGCCTTGCTCCTCGATCCTCCTCCTTCCCTACCTGATTCAGGGGTTGTCTCTTCTCCGACTCAAGTATTTTCTCACTATGCAGGCTAAGGGGTTGTGTTAGAATATAACTTTTTCTTTATCCTACATAGTTTCTTATATATAACCAAGTTGGGCTATCTAGGGGTGTAGATAAATGTTGGGGTTGGATATTCAACCAACCCTTGACCCCAACTATCGAGGTGTTCAAACTTGTTGGTCTTCCACCAACATTATTGGCTCCTCAATTGTTGGTGGTCCAACCTTCCCAAACATCATTGGTCCAACCAATAATGGTTGGGTTGGTCAAGCCCCTCTTGACCTAGGATTGGCTCCCTAGGTAGATAACCCTGTACCACCTCCCTCCATAGTTAATTCTTCTCTTTACATTCCCTAACATCACCTACTTCTCGTGCCTCACATGCTTCTCGTGCCTCACCTGCTTCTCGTGCCTCACCTGCTTCTCGTGCCTCACCTGCTTCTTGTGCCTCACCTGCTTCTCGTGCCTCACCTGCTACTCGTGCCTCACCTGCTCTTGGTGCCTCACCTGCTTCTCGTGCCTCACCTGCTTCTCGTGCCTCACCTGCTTCTCGTGCCTCACCAGCTTCTCGTGCCTCACCAGCTTCTCGTGCCTCACCAGCTTCTCGTGCCTCACCTGCTTCTCCAGCCTCACCTGCTTCTCCAGCCTCACCTGCTTCTCGTGCCTCACTTGCTTCTCGTGCCTCACCTGCTTCTCGTGCCTCACCTGCTTCTCGTGCCTCACCTGCTTCTCGTGCCTCACCTACTTCTCGTGCCTCACCAGCTTCTCGTGCCTCACCTAGTTCTCGTGCCTCACCTGCTTCTCGTGACTCACCTGCTTCTAGTGCCTCACCTGCTTCTCGTGCCTCACCAGCTTCTCGTGCCTCACCTGCTTCTCGTGCCTCACCTGCTTCTCGTGCCTCACCTGCTTCTCTTGCCTCACCTGCTTCTCTTGCCTCACCTGCTTCTCTTGTCTCACCTCCTTCTCGCGCCTCACCTCCTTCTCGTGCCTCACCTGCTTCTCGCGCCTCACCTACTTCTCGTGCCTCAACTGCTTCTCGTGCCTCACTTGCTTCTCGTGCCTCACCTGCTTCTCGTGCCTCCCCTGCTTCTCGTGCCTTACCTGCTTCTCGTGCCTCACCTGCTTCTCGTGCCTCACTTGGCTCTCGTGCCTCACCTTGTTCTCGTGGCTCAGCCGCTTGATGAAGACGATCGCAGACTCAAGGATGGAGGCAGCGTCTGTGCGCGCCCGCTGCGGCACCAGCCTCTCCAACGCGCGGATGTGTTTTGTCAGCCGCTCCCTGCGTTTCTGATATGGCAAGGCAGGGGGGGACGGGGAGAAGAAGCAATGAGGGGAAGGGAATGGAGGCAGCATCGCTGCGGGCCCTCTGAAGCACCACCAGCCTCTCCAATGTGCGGAATGTGCCGAGTCAGCCGCTCCCTGTGTTTCTGTGAGGGAACGTGGGTGGTGTAAGTGGGGGATTGTGAGACCAAGGGGACACTCTGAGGCACCAGCCTCCGCAGTGCGCGGATGTGCCACGTCAGCCGCTCCCTTAGCTTATGTGGGCAAAACGGGTGGCCTCAAAGGGGGGTGGGGGAGGGGTATCAGGACAAGGGGACCCTCCGAGGCACCAGCTGCTCCAATGTGGACCGAAGAGGAAGAGGACCAGGGAGAAGGAGGGCCGAATCTGCTTTTGAGTTGACTAAAAAAAAGCGGACCGGGGGACAAGGAGGCCCGAGTCTGCTTTTGAGCTGACTCAAAAAAAGAGGAACGGGGACAAGGAGGGCTGAGGACAAAGAGTGCTGAGGAAGACGGTATGAAAATGATGTGCCACGGGGCACCACAGACCAATGCCAAGGGGAGCCGCAGACTAGTGCCACGGGGCACCGCAGACCAGTGTCAAGGGGAGCCGCAGACCAGCATTTGAACGGAAGAAGAAGCTCACCCGTGCGGAATAAAAGGCCCAACCGTGCGGAAAAAGGCTCACCTTGCGGAAAAGTGAGCTCACCCTTGCAGAAATAAAAGGCTCACCCGTGCGTTTTGGCAGAAGTGGCTGACGGGCCCCTCTTTCCGTTTCGGCCCTGGCTTCCGGCTGGCATACCCATTCAGCTGCACGCTCACAGCATTGCCGTTCATCTGCCCGTTCACCATGCCATTGCCATCCACTCTCTCCTCCTCCGTTCTGTCACCCTCCCCACCTGTATCGCTGCCAGTCCTCCCCTCCTCCCTGCCTCCCCCGTCCCGCCCCTCCTCTCCTGGCTCATCCGAATCATACAAGTCTAGCCCAGAGCTATCTCCTCTCTGCACCGCCTCCCCTCTCTGCACCGCCTCTCCTCTCTGCAACGCCACCCCTGCTCGACTCCCCTCTCCTAGTCGACCACTCCCCTCTACCCCTCTTTCCAGCCTTCTCCCAGGCCCCCCTCTACTCATGGCCTTGCCAGCACTGGCTAATCTCCCCCCTCCTCCTCCTTCTTCCTCTCCCCCCACTCTTCCTCCTCCCCCTCCTCCCCCTCCTCCCCCTCCTCCCCCTCCTCCCCCTCCTCCCCCTCCTCCCCCTCCTCCCCCTCCTCCCCTCCTCCCATTCCTCCTCCCATTCCTCCTCCTCCCCCCTCGCCCATCTCAGCCATGGCGTCCTCCATCTGCTCGATCTCCTTCAGCTGATCCTTGCTTTTCAGTCGACTCGAAAGCAGACCTCCTCCTCCTCCCCCTCCTCCCCCTCCTCCCCCTCCTCCCCCTCCCCCCCTCCTCCCCCTCCTCCCCCTCCTCCCCCTCCTCCCCCTCCTCCCTCTCCTCCCCCTGCTCCTCCCATTCCTCCCCCTCCCCCCCTCCTCCCCCTCCTCCCCCTCCTCCCCCTCCTCCCTCTCCTCCCCCTGCTCCTTCCATTCCTCCCCCTCGCTCCTCGTCCAACTCAGCCATGGCGTCCTTCATCTGCTCGATCTCCTTCAGCTGATCCTTGCTCCACAAGAAGCTACGAGCCAGCCGCGCCCGACCACCCAGCCCACCGCCACCCAGGCCATTGCCGCCCAGGCCATTGCTGCCCAGCCCGCCACCGCCCAGCCCACCACCACCCAACCCACCGCTGCCCAGCCCACTGCTCCTGGCCAAACCACCGCCGCCCAACCCACCGCCAGTAAAGTCAGCAGAAGAGGAGAGCCCACCAGCCCTAGTGAGACCGCCACTGCGAGCTAAGGTTGTCCCCATGCCCGGGGGTAGCAGTGGTGGTGGGTTAGTAAAAGCCATCCCCATACCTGTAGGGCCACCACTGCCCACACCGGACCCCAGCTCCGAGTCTCCTCCCGTACCAAGCTCCTTGCTGAAGCCTGCACCCGCTAGGCTCGTTCCCCGTTCCAAACCTCCGCATTCCAGACCTGGATTTTCCGAGCCAAAATCCCCTGCACCTGGATCTCCCAAGCCAGCATTCCCCAAGCCTGACAGCCTACGTCCGGCCGAACGGAGGCCAATTTCGGCCTGGTCAATTGAGCCGGTGGCAGCAGTGGCAGGGACGGCTGAAGGGATGTCGTCAAGAGAGAAGGAGGCAGAGGGGAAGGAGAGGAGAGCACGGGGAGGGGAGGAGGGTGGTGGAGGCCCTTCTCTTCCCCATCCTCTGAATGACCCCCCAAAGGTGGCAGCAGCACCACCATTGCCACCGACACTGCCGCCAACAGCAGCAGCACCGTCGGCACGGCCACTGCCGGCCACCATATCTTTTGCCCTCTTGGCCCCTCCCGCTCCACCTCCCTCCTCACCCAGCATACTTTCACATGGCCGCTTACGGCCCCCACTGCCCACTGCCTCAGAAGAATCTCTCTCGAATCCAACCCACGCCCCACCTCCTGCCTCTATCGCTGCCTCATCTCTCCCTCCTTCTCTTGCTCCTCCCATCCCCCCTCCTCCTCCTCCTCCTCCTCCTCCTCCTCCTCCTCCTCCTCCTCCTCCTCCCCCACCTCTTTTCTGCTCCCACGGGCCAGTGCCACTCGCACTGCCCAATCTCTGAATGGGGGGGGTGCGAGTGGCACCCGGCGCCAGTGCCCCTGCATCTCCTCGAAAGCCCAGGGACCCCATGCTCGGCCCCGCTCTCTGCAGCCCTCCCCTGGAAGGCACGGCTGCTGGCAAAAAGCCAGGAAAATTCACGCGGTCTATACTGGGTCCCGCTCTTTGGAGCCCCTCTCCCCGGTTATTTTCTGAAGAAAAGGCAGGTGGGGGTGGGGCAGGGCCCTGCAGGTTCCAGTGGTCTATGCTTGGTCCCGCTCTTTGCAGATTGGAAGGTGGTTGGGAGGGTGGGCTATTCAAATGGTCAATGCTTGGTCCCACTCTCTGTAATCTGCTAGGTGGCTGGGAGGGTGGGTTGTTCAAACGGTCAATGCTTGGTCCCGCTCTCTGTAATCTGCTAAGTGGCAGGGAGGGTGGGCTGTTCAGGGGTGGGGAGAACGGGGGTGCCGCTGCTGCTGAGTTGGTAGTAGCAGTTTGTGATTGCTGCTGCTGCTGCTGGAGATGCAGCGTCTGCTGTTCCAGCAGGTGCTGCTGCAGCAGCTTCTGCCGCTGCTTCTGTCTTAGCGCCATCTCATGCTGCTCCTGCAGCGGCAGCGACAGCTGCGAGCGCAGCTGCGGCCTCAGAGACTCATGCAGATCTCCCCCACTCCCCACTTCCCCGGTTCCAGGACCACCAATCCCCCCTCCCCCTGCCCCAGTACCACTGATCCCATTCCCTTCTCCCCTTAAATTCCCCCCTCCCCTTGAATTCCCCCCTCCCCCTGAATTCCCCCCTCCACCTGAATTCCCCCCTCCCCCTGAATTCCCCCCTCCCCCTGCCCCAGCACCACCAGTTCCACTCCCCCCTCCCACTTCCCCCCCTGCCGCCTGCCGCTGCTTCAGTCTCAACACCATTTCATGCTGCTCCTGCAGCGGCAGCAACGGCTGAGGTCGCAGGCGTGCCCGGAAGCTCTCTAGCACGTCTAGCCCGGCCCCACCTCCTGCACCTCCCCCGCCTCCCCCGCCTCCCCCGCCTCCCCTGCCTCCCCCACTCCCCCCTGCCCCACTTCCCCCACTCCCCCCACTCCCCCCACTTCCCCTGCTCCCTCCTCCAGCTCCCCCAGTCCCACCTCCCCCACTTCCCCATCCACCGTTTCTTCCTCCCCCGAAACCCCCTCCCCCCAGGGCATCCCCCAATGGGTGCGAGCCATCAGCAGAGCCGAGCCTGCGGAGGCTCGGGGAGGAGAAGTTAGGGTTGGAAAGGGCTGCCGGGTCTAGGGCCTCTGCCGATGCAGAGCCGAGCCTGCTGAGGCGCGGGGAGGAGAAGTTAGGGTTTGGAGGGGCTGCAGCGCCTAGCCCCTCTGCCGAGGTAGAGCCGAGCCTGCGGAGGCGGGAAGACGAGGACCCCACGGTTTGAGGCGTCTCAAAGCCCGCCTCAGCAGAGCAGAGGCGCCTGAGGCGAGAAGAGGAGAAGTTAGGGTTCACTGAGGCGTCGAGAGCCTCTGCGGATGCTGATGCTGACTCCTGGCGGGCGAGCATCCGCTGCTGGCGCCGACTGCCCTGCCAAAGAGGGGGCTGCCCTGCTGCTGCTGTGGTAATGGCACCTGCGGGGTTGCTGCTGCTGGTGCCAGGGGTAGTGGGAGTAGCAGCTGCAGCAGCAGCAGCAGCGGTAGTAGGAGCAGGAGCACCAGCAGTAGCAGTACCAGCACAAGAAGCAGCACCAGCATTAGCAGCGGCGGCAGCAGCAGCAGCGGTATCATTGCTACAACGCACTCTCCCACCTACAACCCCACCATCCGCACCTTCTTGCAAACCTTGGCTGCTGATCGCCTCCATGGCTAGACCCCACGGCCATTCGCTTCCCGAACCTGCGCGTGAGCTCAGGGAGCCAGCTCCGGTGCTGCTGGCACGGGAGAGGGGAGTGGCTGGTTCGGGCCGGCTGGAGAGAACAGCAGATGTAGGGACTTCTGCGTCCACTCGACTGGTAGACGTAGTTACACCAAGAGAACCTTCCAACAACCCCCATGCTCCTGTTGCTCCTCTCCCTGCTCCCCCCACTACTCCTCCTGAACCTCCTCCTCCACCTCCTCCTGCTCCCCCAGCAGCAGCAACAGCAGCCAGGGGGGAGTGTGGGGAAGGGCAGGGGGTGTAGGAGTGCGGGGAGGGGAGGGGGGTGTGGGAGTGCGGGGAGGGGAGGGGGGTGTGGGAGTGCGGGGAGGGGAGGGGGGTGTGGGAGTGCAGGGAGGGGATGGGGGTGTGGGAGTGCGGGGAGGGGGAAGGAAAGCTGCGGGGGTCAGCAGAAGCAGATGGGAAGAGGCGGGAGCGAGCAGGGCCGGGCAGGGATACGGCTCGAATCAGGTGATGCTGCCTCTGGAACTGCTGCTGCTGCTGCTGATCTGGTTGTTGTTGTTGTTGCTCCTGCTTCTGCTGCTGCTGTTGCCCCAGCCCCTGTTTCTGGCCCTCGGTGAGTCCTTCTACACCCGGTGCCGACAGACGCACTCCCAGGTTAGCAGGCGACATGCCCGGGCGTCCTGATAGCAACACGCCAGCTGCTGCTGCTGCTGCACCTTCCAAAGTGGGAGCTGCTTTTGAAATGGCGCCTGCTTGCCCTGCTTTTAGAGACGAGTTAGAAGGCGCCTGGCTTCCGGACAGGGTCATGCTGCTGACAGATGCTGCTGCTGCTGCCGCTTGTGCTGCTGCTGCTGCTGCTGCTGCTGATGGTGTTGCTGCTGCTGCTGCTGGTGCATCCGTTGCTGCTACCTGTGCTGGTCCGCTGCTCGCGACCTGACGTTCTGATGCACCCTGACGTGCTGCGTGCTGCGCGCTGTTGGCTTGCTGGATGGCGGAGAGAGCAGCCAGGAGGGCGGGGAGAGAGGACGGGCTCACCGAGGACTGGAGAGGCATAGCGGGAGAGGAGGCTAGGGCGTTGGAAGCGAGGGCGTTGGCTGCTGGAATAGGGGCTGTTGTAGCCATGGGAGGTGCTAAGGCTGGTGTGAGGACAGTAGTGGGTACAGGTAAGCCAGGAGCACCGGTGAGAGTGTTGAGTGTACATGTAGCGATGGAAAGAGAGCCAGTGGCACTGGTTGCACCGGGAGCACCGAAAGCACCGGGAGCACCGGAAACACTGGGAGCATCAGCAGCAGCAGGAGTAGTAGCAGCAGCAGCAGCAGCAGGGCCAGTAACAGTTCCACGAGCAGAGGCAGCAGGGGCTTCAGCTGAGCCGTCCCCAACGGCTGCTGCTGCCACGACCACTGCTGTGGCCGCTGCTGCTGCCGCCACATCGAGTAGCTCCGATATTGGCCTGCCCTTGCCTGAGCCTCGCTGTGCTCCAGCAGCAGCAGCAGGAGCAGGAGCAGCAGCAGGAGCAGCGGCAGCAGCTGCAGCAGGAGCAGGAGCAGGTGCAGGAGCAGGAGCAGGTGCAGGAGCAGGAGCAGGTGCAAGAGCACCAGGAGCAGCATTGGCAGCAGCATGAGGAGCAGCAGTAGCGCCACCAGCAGCAGAACCATGGCTTCCTGATTCCACCCCTTGACCCACACCTACCATTCCGGCTCCTTCTTTCCTGGACAAAACAGACCCTCCTACTCCAGCCGATGCCAAAGTGCTGCCACTTGTCTGGCGCTGATTGGCTGAAAGACCGGAAGGATCGTCAGCAGTTAAGATCTGCCCGCCGAGGCTGGCAAGCAGGCTCGGGTGGGCGCCGAGGCTCTTCCCACCGAGGCTCTGCCTGCCGAGGCTGGAGAGGAGCCCCGAGGCTTGCGAAAGGTAGTGGGTGAGCCGGGCGTGGTTCTTTGCAGCTAAAAGCTCGCCTGTTCTAGAACCCTCCTCCAGGATTTTAAGTAAGTGCTGGAGCTCAGGGGTGGAGACGGTGCTGGTGGGAACAGTGGTTGCTGCTGCTGCTGTTACGCCAGTCCGTGTGTTAGTGTTTGGTTCGGGGGCTGGGTTGGCGGAGAGAGATGCGAGACCGACAGAAAGGGTGGCGTCGCGAGGGAACGTAGCTGGTGCTATTGCCTCTTCCAATGCAGAGCCTGTGGCTGTTCGTGCTGCCGCTACTGGGGCTGCTAGCTCTGCTGCTGTTGCTGCTGCTGCTGGGGCTGTTAGCTTTGCTGCTGTTGTCACCACTGCTCCAGCGCCTGTTGCCACTGCTGGCGCTGCTGTCCCTGCCGCTGCTGCTGCTGCACCAGAGGCAAACCCCGCAGCAGTATCGCAAGGCACAGCCGCCGCAGCTGCCTTAGTCCCTCTTCCTCCGTCCCCCCTCCTGATACCCCCTTGGCCTGACAGGAAGCCAGTGAGGAGGGAGAGAGCGCTGCTGAGCTGCTGCTGCGCGCCGGAGGGGAGGTCCCTGCACTCTAGGAGCTGAGACATGGACAGGATGGTTTGACCGATCTGCGCCACCTGCGCTTGACGTGCCTTAGACGCAGCAGACCGCTGCGCGCCGGAGGAGGAGAGGAGGTCATTGGAGTGAACAAGCTGAGAGATGGAGAGCATAGATTGGGCCATCAGTGCCAGCTGCGCCGCTTGAGGCGGCTCAGAAGAAGCAGGCTTCTGCGCGCCAGGGGGGAGGTCCGACCTCCCGAAGGAGTCCTTAGGTTGTAAGGTCTGCGACATGGACAGGATTGTGTGAGCCACCTGCGCCAGCTGCGCCGCTTGAGGCGCCTCAGAAGAAGCAGGCTGCTGCGCGCCAGAGGCGGGGTCCTCGGGTTGTAAGGTCTGCGCCATGGAGAGAATTGTGTGAGCCACCTGCGCCAGCTGTGTAGCTGCCGCCTCTGCTGCTCTGCTGCTGCTGCCGCCGCCGCCACTGCTGCTGCCGCTGTTGATGCTGGTGCTGCGGGCGCGGGGAGGAGCAGCACCCGCTGCAGCTGCTGATGCTGCTGCTCCCAGCCCTGACAATGCGCCTGCGATCTTTCCGCCATACAGCGGCTCTGGCGCAGCAGGCGCAGAATTGTGGGTGGTTGCGTTTGCTTCCAACAGACGGTTGGGTGAGGGGGAGGTGCTGGGGAACAAGGGTAGGGTAACCCCAGATGCACGCGTAGATTTGTCCCCCCTATTGACTGCTTCGCTGCCTCGCATTTGCCGTTGGTCCACCTCCATCCCTGTTGCTTCTTCCTTTGCCTTTTCTGTAAAGCCGGATGTAGAAGGCTCTACCTTAGGCTGTCGCACTCCGTTTTCGCATGGATGCGCACGGCCGCATGATGGCGACGCATTCGCGACAGCCGCACGCGACAACTCTAATCCGGAAACGGCGAAGTTCCCGCCGACGACCGCCGGCCTTATGCGGTCGACTATCATATTAGGGTTGCCAAAGCTTAGCGTGACTTCCGAAGGCCTGATAACCTGTTCTGAGCCCTCCTGTAACGGAATGAAACTCGATAGAGGCAAGTCAGGGATATTGTGGCCGGAATGCGGGTACTGATAACGACGCTGAAGGGACTGCTGATCCATCAATGCCTCTAATTAACTGAAAGAATCACTCTGTGTGAAAAGTTCATTGAAAACAAATGCTGGCTCTACGCTGTCGCTCATCCAGAGTGTCTCAGCTAGGCCATAACCTAAGATGCATTAGTAGCTAGAAAAATAACCTTGTATGTGCGAGACGGAGACCGAGAATGTGGTCAGATAAGGGTCAACTCCAGACACGGTTCAAAGTTTGCTGGGCCTGTGGTCAGAAGCACTATTGTGAGAATAGGCCTCTCCTTGCCGCGTTACAGTTTTAGGGGGACTATGGAGCATATAACGCGGCAGAAGCAATCCCTGGGTCGACAGCATCTGCGACTTGGGGGGAACAGCGAGGGAGTTTCCCCAGTCCAGGCCAGCCTTCGACGCCCAAAACTAGTCTGGGGGGCAGGTGAGGGAAAATCTTAGGGTTGTTTTTAGTAGGTGTCAAAACTTAGGTGAGGGAAATCTTAGGGCTGTTTTCAGTAAGTGTCATCCCGAGAAAGTGTCATCCGAGAATGTTAGAACCCATCGCAACCGTTATTTCAAAACTTCTCAGAGACCGTGAAAACTTTTTCCTTTGAACGGTTACGATGGGTTTCCAACATTCTTGGATGACACTTTATCGAGATGACACCTTCTAGAAACAAGCCCTTATGAGGGGATTAGCTGCCCTTTAAAGAGCCAGTTGAAGGAAACAGCCAATCAACTTGCCAAGCATGCAGTGGTCCAGAATCAACTGTATCGATTTCTGTGTACAGCGCTGTACATGTAAGTTTCCCTTGGTTCTGGGTAGGGAAAACGCTGTTTGCCTCGTACCCAGACCGAAATTGACCCAAAACGGTTCATCAAACAAGCTGGATGAGGCCCGGTTCGGTACACCTATCTCGATTCTCGAGCCATTTTCTTAGGTGTAATGGGCGAACTCACTGGGTGGCAGATCTGGTTACACGGCCCTTCTGCGAGGTTCTTCATACAGTTCATCGGTATGTTCGTCAAGCACTGGTTACTCATGGTGCGCTGCCCATGTTTGTATTTTACCTAGAGGCAAACTATTTTCTTGATGTCCAATTTTCTGGCAGGAGTTATTTCGAAGATGCAAAACAGTGTTATCCTTGATCCAGCAACATTGTGTGTGTTGTAACGCGTACATTCGCTGAGTGTCTCCTTTTCATGGGACTAGATGATGCATTTGTTGATCACTACTGGTAGCCCACCTCAGGAGCCATGTCGCACGACAACGGCAGTCCCAGAGCAGTCCTCTTCTGGTTCGTTCTTCTTGATTTCGCGATTCAGTGGACTGCCTGCCTCTTCTCCGCCATTTTTCAGGTCTGAGATTGCCGTGAACTTGAGAATTCTCAACTTTCAGCCTGAGGTGTCATCACCAGACCCCGCTGACGTTGCCTCAACAAGTACTACTTGTAGCAGTTCTGTCATGTTCGGTTTCACCAACCCGACCGAGCCTCGCTAACTCCCCCCGTTCGGTTTCTTCCCATCCCTTCCCGCGTTAACCAATCAGACGGAGCTTTTTTTCGATCTGACCGGCTCCTGCACGTTCCTTCTCGGCGCCTTCCTTTCGCTTGCCATAGGCGGATCGCTGCATCAGAGACAGGTGGAACATTCGTCCCCCCTTACTGTTTTTTTGTTTTTTGTTTTTGTTTTTGTTTTTTTCTAAATAGCCAACTCCCTCCTTGTTGTCATACGAGAACTCTAATTGTCAACTCCCTCGTTATGGCGAGTACGTTTCCTGGATGATTGAGAGGACAAGTGATTCTCTTTTCTATCCACCCGATTTCGGGCTTCATTTTCATATTAGACCCCTCTCTGGAGTCGCTCCCTCATCACACATTTCAACTGCATACACTTCATTAATCCAATCACGGTGACGCCTCGTTGTAGTCACAACCGATTCTTTCTGTGACACCTCGCTGTAGTCACATTCAATTCTTTCCGTGACGCCGCGTTTCTATTCACAATCGATCCCCTCCAAGCCCCCCATCATCATTCAGTATTTTTTTCAGAATCCTAAGAAACCAGCTCGATCCCCCGTCATCATCATGATGATCAGGTGGTCGCATCATCGCTCGTTTCAATCTGGGCCGTTCGTCTCGGCACCTTCCTCTTCACTCGCATCCTCCGCGTGAGTCGTACTACCCGCCCTTTGTAACAAGGGCATTCCACCTCTGCCTTCCACCTCCGCCTCTGCCTTCCGCCTCCGCCCCTGCCTTCCCCCTCCGCCTCTCAGTGTGCCATTCCAAACCATCTCAACAAATCACCGCATCCCTCACCTGCCTTCACTCCGACCCTCTTTCTCGCCACCTCTCCATCTTCTTGCTCCAGAGGGGCAAGGCAATGGCTCCTGCTTCGATGGCGTCAGGGCCAGCCTATCGTGAGCCATCTCAACCGATCTCTACCGCATTCCCTGCCTATGTCTCTCCTGCTCCCCCGTGTGCGTGCTCCAGAGGGGTAAGGACTCTCGCTTCGATGGCGTGAGGGATCAGCCCATCTTCCTCATGATGTTCTGGACCGTGCAGGTGGGGACTGGACCGTGCAGGCGGGGACTGGTGCAGGGGGTTATTACTAGACTGTGCAGTTGTGCGGGTGTGGGTTGCTTGTTGCAGGTGGGGGTTGAACCCTAACTGCTTCTTTGCGTCAGGGACCAGCCCATCTGCCTCATGATGTTCTGACCGTGCAGGTGGGGTCTGGATGACTGGACCGTGCAGGTGGGAACTGGTGCAGGTGCTTTTTAGAAAGTGCAAGTACTGGTTTTGCGTGATGAGAGGTGTCTGACGCTTTCGTATTATTCTTTCTGTGCAACCTTTTTTTTAGGTGAGAACTGGTGCAGGTGAGGGGATGTTATTTAGGCAGCGCAGCTACTACTGGTTTAGCAAAATGACAGGTGCCTGATGTTCTCTTCTGATCTTGCAATGCAATATTTTTTATTTTTCCTTCAAAAAAAAAAAAACAAATCTCTACTGAATAAGCTGCCTGGCACACTCCCTCCCTCAACACTCCCTGCACACTCCCTCCAAACCAACCCCCCTCCAGGGCATGTGGGTGCTCATCGTCTCACTGCCGCTGCTCGTGCTCAATGCCTCTCATCCCCAGCCGCCCTGGCTTTCTGCTACAGACGTTGCAGGTAAAGTGCTACAGTCTGCTACAGGCCTTTAGGAGATTTTCTCAGCCGCCCTGGCTTTCTGGTACAGGCTTTGCAGGTAAAGTGCTTCAGTGTGCTACAGGCATTGCAGGTGAAGTGCTGCAGTGTGCTACAGGCATTGCAGGTTAAGACATGAAAGAAATCAAATGTTGTACAGACCAGACGATTAGAGAGTCGCTCCTCTCTAATGTTGCAGGCAAAGCGCTTCAGTGTGCTACAGCCGATTAGAGAGTCGCTCGGCCGCGCTGACTCTCTGCTACAGACCTGGCAGGCAGGTCATTGTCTACATAGCCCTTCGAGTCTCCCCATACCCTTTATTGTCCGCTGCAGGATTGGCTCTATGGTCAGTTGGCTTCCTCGTCGAGACGATAGCCGACCATCAGAAGCTACTGTGGGTGAAGTGATTGTAGGTGAAGTAATCATAGGTGAAGTGATTGTAGGTGAAGTGACTGTAGGTGAAGTAATTATAGGTGAAGTGATTGCAGGTGAAGTGATTGTAGGTGAAGTAATTGTAGGTGAAGTGATTGCAGGTGAAGTGATCACAGGTGGAGTGATAAGAGCTGAGCAAGAGAGAGGTGAAATGAAGTGGCTAGCGGTGAAGGGAAGTAAGAGGGACAGCACGTGAAGTGACGAGGGACATAGTAGGTAATGGGTTTTTTTTGCAAATTCGGGCAGTTTTTTTCAGCACACTTACTCTTTCCATGCACCCCTCGCTTACCCTCTCTCCCGCCCTCCATCCCTCCCCCTCTACATCCGTCCTCCTCGTCTTCGTTACAGCTTTAGCCTACGCCAGGAGAACGAGGGCAATTGGATAGCAAGTGGCTTATGGAGGTGCCTCTTTGCATGCTGTCCCTTCCTGCATGCCTTCCTGCATGCCTTCCTGCATGCCTTCCTGCATGCCTTCCTGCATGCCTTCCTGCATGCCTTCCTGCATGCCTTCCTGCATGCCTTCCTGCATGCCTTTCTGCATGCCTTTCTGCATGCCTTTCTGCATGCCTTTCTGCATGCCTTTCTGCATGCCTTTCTGCATGCCTTTCTGCATGCCTTTCTGCATGCCTTTCTGCATGCCTTTCTGCATGCCTTTCTGCATGCCTTTCTGCATGCCTTTCTGCATGCCTTTCTGCATGCCTTTCTGCATGCCTTTCTGCATGCCTTTCTGCATGCCTTTCTGCATGCCTTTCTGCATGCCTTTCTGCATGCCGCCCCATCCGCCCTGCACGAATTGTACCATGAGTAACCAGCGTGTTTCACATGTCACGCGCCATTCTACAGGCCATCATGGCCGCTCTTCTCTTATGCTTCTTACCAAAAGTGGACCAACTGACGTGTGCTGCTCTTCTCCCCTACTTTGACCTGTATCTCGCCCCCCACCCCCACCCCCCCCTCCCCACTCCCCCTGTGTTCAGCTGGAGCCAGCACCCGAACTATTTTGGGGAGATTCTCCTCTGGTTCGGCCTCTACCTTCTCACCTTCTCCGGCCTCTCCCCTCTGTATCGCATCACATGTAAGCCGCCGTGTCTTGTAAGCCGCCGTGCCTTGTGAGGCTTCTCACAAGTCACTCGAAAGTCCCTGGATTGACTCGAAAGTCCTCTCCCACTCGAAAGTCCCTGGATCGACTCGAAATTCTCCTCTTGTTTCGCATCATCTGTAAGCCGCAGCTGCCCCACTTGTCCAATGCTTATGTCCCCAACCCTCCTCCTGCCCTCGGTTGTTTCCTTTGTTCCTTCATTCCTCGAATGTGTGCTTCTCCTATACATCCCATCCTTTGCTTTGCTCTCTCTATGGCAGGAAGCACCTTTGGGGATCGGAACCTCCTCATTTACCCCTGTTCTGCAACCACTTCGTACCATTCTTCCTTGTTTTCACAATCTGTTACTGTCACAGGTCTTGCAAGCCCTCTCTTCACGCTCTATGCACTTGTGCGCATGAGTGGGGTACGTTTATCTGCCCTTGTGCTATCTACTCGGAGTTATAATGATTTGGATGGTGTTACTGCTCTGTTCTTGCACTCACAGTTCCACCCTATAATGTGCGGTCACAGTGGAGCCCTCTTCTACACACTCCAACCAATACTGTGCTCCTTGCATTTCTCTCCGTGCTGTTGCCCACGCTCCCCCTTCAGATTCCTCTGTTGGACAAGGCGTCTCAACGGCGATGGGGAAAGGATGCGGCATATCAAGCTTATCGTAATTCGACATCCGTCCTCGTTCCTTGGCCGTGGCCTGTGAACAATAGCCCGGCCGAGAACCATACTCATGCAGAATGATATCTGTCTTACAAGGAAAAAGTGCGTGTATTTGGTGAATCAGGGTATGTTTTCCAATGCGTTGAAATGCAATTCAAGTACGGTACCGTAGCTCCATTTGCTAGGCATAATTTTGGCACTCTGGAATGCCCGAGTCCACTAAGTGACTGGTCTGTTTTTCTCAGGGTCTGGAGAGAACAATCAGAGTCACATGTTCTTATTGTTAAATTATATGCTTGATATATATATATAATGGTAGGCTTGGTAGTAGGTGTTACTGGATTCTACTGCAGAGGGTACAACCCCCCTTGTATCCCTCTCTCTTCTATTCCAAGACCCTCTCTTCTCTCGACATTTTCCTAGCACCTAAAACCTCTCGCCATTCATTGCGTCTCTTCATACCTAGCTAGCTTTGACACTTACCTCATGTAAATAAACATTGTGCCACCCTTGGCAGGAGCCTTCTACTACCATATGAACCAAGGAACCAACCACTCACTAAGAGCAACATAGAATTCTGGCGCATCTACGGTAATATAATCGTCAGCTCCCTCGTCATCAGACAGGAATGGATTGTCGACCATCCTTGGAGCATCAACCTCCGCATCATCACCACCCCCGTCCTCCTCAACCCACCCTACCCCTGTCAACATATATTTGTATATGTTATAGGCTAGATAGATGCATGCTCATAGAGAGTACAACTCCTTCGAACAAAACCACCCTGTATCACTCATTCTAGTTCATTACGTTATTATGAGATGGTATCACGCAGGTCCCCCTCCCCACTTACGCTTCAGCCCCTAGCCCGTGTCCTAGCCGTGCCCTAGCCGTGCCCTAGCTCTGTCCGCTCCAGCCCCGTCACTTCGCGCCGGCCCCGTTAGTTAGTGCCGGCCCCGCTAGTTCACGCCAGCCCCTCTAGTTCGCGCCGGCCCCTCTAGTTCGTGCCGGCCCCATCACTTCACGCTGGCCCCATTAGTCCGCGTCGGCCCTAGTAGCCCATGCCGGCCTCCGCTAGATCGCGCTGGCCATGCCGTTTCACGCCGGGCCCGTCCCTCCGCGCAGGCCCCGCTAGTCTGTACCGGCCCCTACTCGCACTGGGCCCCGTTCGAGCCGGCCCCAGTTCGCGCCGGCCCCTTTTCCCGCCGTGCCGCGGTGCCGTCGTGCTGCCGTGCCGCCGTGACGCCCTGCCGCCATGCTGCCGTGATGCCGTACCGTCGTACCGCTGCGTCGCCGTGCCGCCGTGTCGCCGTGCCGCCGTGCCGCCGTGCCACCGTGTCGCCGTGTCGCCGTGCCGCCGTATTGCCGCACTGCCGGACCACCGTGCCGCAATGCCGTTGTCAGCTGCTGCGGCCGTGGTGATGGCGGACGCTGTGCTCCGCCTGGCACGGAGGGTCGGGCGATCGACTATGAGGCGTGGCTCATCGACCTCCGCCGTCAGCTTACAGGTCAGCGCCAGGACAGCTACTCCCTGGCCGTCCATGTTGACGGTAAGCTTCCCTGCCCCGCCGCGCCTTCTGCCCTCCCTGACGCTCCCACGTCTGCTGAGCACGGGGCCTTTGCCGCTGCTGAGCTTGCCCGCGTTGTCTGCGATTCGCGCGACGTGGTAGCGCAGCTTGCTATTAGTCACGCCCTCCCCTTGTCTGAGCGTCCCCACTTTATTACTATAGTGAATGCGAAGGAATACTTAGATGCAATCATCGCGCGCTATTCCACTCCCTCCTCCGCCTCAGCTGGCCGTCTGATCCTCCCCATGCTGTTCCTGGATCTTGCGTCCTTCCCCACTATCACTGACCTTGCCACTCATCTACGCACACTACGCCTGGCACGGAGGGAGACTAGTTACCGCACTGCTAGCACAGAGGCCCAGCTCACTGTACTCCCTCCTCCCCTCTGCGCTACCCTTTACCTCATTGCCACGCGCCTTCATAACCGCGCTGCCACTGCCCGCGACCACTTTCTTAGTCAGCACCCAGGTGACCTCACCCTTCCTGCCTTTGTCACCGCCCTGTCTGCAATAGAGATCCGCCAGCGCACTATCGCTCAGTCTAGTGGTACTGTGGTGGTCCCTATCTTCCAGGGATGTGCTCCCTCCCAGTGCACTTACTCTAACATCTCTGCCGCTGTTGCTGAGATGACCCCTGCTGCTGAGACCGCTGATGCGGCTTTAGTGCATACTCGTCAGAGTAGGGAACGTTGAGCCTCAGGGGGGGCGTGGCGGCGGGAGGGGTAATGGGGGTGGCGGAGGTGGCGGAGGTGGCGGCGGTGGTGGAGGGGATGATGGTGTAGACGAGGGGACCGGGGCTGATGCCCCGGTGCAGCAGCAGGAGCAGCAGCAGTCGCAGGAGCAGCAGCAGCCGCCGTGGGGACCCCCGCCGCCGTGGTGGCCCGGTGGCGCTGGTGGTGGTGGTCGTGGTGGTGGGCCGCGTAGCTTGGTGTCGGGTGGCGGCTCCAGTGTGGTCACCTGTCTGTAACAGCTTCAGTCTGGCCCCTGCCGTGGCACCGTCTGCGATCGTCAGGGTCACACCGCTACCTGGACGACCTCTTCCGTCTCTGCTTCGGCCACGCATTGGACCCCCCCGACTGGTACAGCATGGTGCATTGCCGTGTGCCTGTCTTTGAGCTGGATATGGATCAGATTAGGTCTGCTATATATGTCACGTATGCTGATGAATCTAGTGTGATTGGAATCTATTACCCTGTGTTGCCTCGTATAGGTGTGTCCATTCTGTGTAGCCTAGGTTCCCATGCTGCGTCAGGCGTAGGACCTGCCTTGTCTAACCTCGGCTCCACTCTAGCTCCTCCGCCTTAGGATGCCACCGCCGCGCTCTCTTTCACGCTGGACATGGGTGCGTCCGCCTGCATCTTTCGCGACCACACTGCGCTCACGCCGCTTGCCGCCCGCGCTGCTGTAGCGCTTGCTGACCCTTCCTCAGGTCCGGTAGTTGCACGTAGCTCCACTACCCTTCCTTGTCCAGCGGTTCCCTCGAGCTCCCTTACAAGCTTGCACATCCCCTCGTTCTCCAGGAACCTAGTTGGTGTTGGCTGTTTTCAAGACCTCGGCATCACCACTACGTTTCCTGGACATGAGCGGTACAGAGTCGGCACCAAGGCCGCCACTGGTTCTCGTCTCACCACGTTCTCCTGGGACCCGGTGTCTGGCCTGTTCACTCTAGACACCGCGTCCCCCTCGGTAGGAGCGTCCCCCCTGGTGGTCGTGCCCTCCCAGGTCGCTGCGGCTTGCTTGTGTTGGTCGCTCACCCACTTGTCGCTGCTGTGTCACCCCGCACTCCCATGTCTGCGTCGCATGTCCCTGCATAGTCTTGTCTTAAGTCTCGCTGCGTCGCTCCCTGCCCTTCCTCCCTTGCGTGCGCCACCGTGCACGCCTTACATCGAGGGCCAGCTGCATCGTGCCCCTCACTCCTCCTCACTTCCCCCTACCACTATGCCACTCAAGACCCTACACCTGGACGAGGGGCCAAACCTTTGTCCCTGGGCCACGTCGAGAGCGCTACTTTCTGGTGCTCGTCGACGACTAAACGCGCTACACCACGGTGTTTCCCCTGGAGCGGAAGGCTGATGTGCCTGATGTTCTTTTCTTGTGGGTCTTAGCTGCAGGAGTCCACCGCGGCCTTCCTGTGCTACGTCTTCTCTCCGACCATGACGGCGAGTACATCTTCGGTCGGCTTGGCTAGTTCTGTCATGCGGAGGGCACCACCCACTCGTACACCCTGCCAGACTCCCCGCAGCAGAATGGGGTACCTGAGCGACGCATCGGTTTGGTCATGGAGGTGGCTCGTAACTCCATGATCCATGCCGGTGCACCCCATTTTGTGTGGCCGTTTGTTGTTCGCTACGCCGCTCACCAGCTTAACCTGTGGCCACACTCCCAGCAGCCGCAGGTTTCGCCGACCCTCCTATGGACTGGGTCCCCTGGTAACACGTCTGCGTTTCACGTCTCGAGCTACCTCACTCACGTTCGTGCCTCTGGTATGAACAAGCTCACTGCTTGCAGCATCTCCTGTGTCTTCCTTGGCTTCCCCCTAGACACGTCTGACTGTCACTTTTACCACCCGCTGTCTCACTGTTTCTTTCACTCTCGCGACGTCACATTTGACGAGGCTGTCTCCTTCTACATCTGCTTTCTTCACTGAGGTGTCCCGGTTGCCCCGCCCTTGTTCCTGGTCCCCACTCCCCCGGTAGTACCTGCTCTTCTCCCTTCCCATCCTGCCCTGTCTGGTGTGTCTCACATCACTCCCCTCTCGTCGGTCGTCCCGGTGGAGGAGTCGGCTAACTATGGGGGCCCTGCAGTACCGGGTTCGCCGCCTGTCTTTGTCTCGGTTGCTCCTCCTCTGCCACCGCAGCCGCAGTCGTCGTCGCCGCCGCAGCAGCAGCCGCCGCCGCCGCCGCCGCCGCCACAGGGGTTCGAGAGCTCTGGGGATGCGGGCGTTGAGGAGGGTGCTGGTTCTTGGGGTGCTGATTCTCGAGGTGCGTGTCTTGGGGGTAATATCGTGGCTTGTCCAGGCGGTCTTGGGGGTGGCACGGGTGCTGGAGAGGTTTCTCGTTCAGGGGGTGTTGGCGTGGAGCGTACAGGAGGTGGCCCTAGTGCAGCCGGAGATTTTGGTGTCAGCGTAGAGTAGCATACGCAGCATTCGCAGCCGGTGTCCGTCCTTTGCCTCCTCTGTCTTCCTTTTTCCGACCACCCGCCTGCGCCTCCCCCGCCGCCGCCTCCCCCGCCTGTCTACGGCCCTGTGTTTCCTCCTCCCGACTCGTCCCTGGCTTGTTTCCCCCCTCGTTCTCCTGTTGTGTCTCCTCCTTTGTCTCCTGACCCGAACCCCCCCCTCTCGCTGGTGGTCTCACCGTGCCTCTTGTGCTTGTTCTGCCTCTCCTGTTCAGCGCTCTCACCCTATGTTGCTCCGTTCTCATGCGTCTTGTGCTTCCCTTCTACCGTCGCCTCCTTAGTCGTGGCTTGTTTTCTCCCCTCCTCCTCTCTTTGACTTCCTCCATGCCGCTAATCCGCTTGTCCCTCACGTTCTTGCTTTTCTTGTTACCGAACCATCCGTTTCTGTCTCCAGTCTTGACGCTCTTGTCGCTGTCGTCGCAGACTTTGCCTCTACCAGCCACCTTGACTATGCCACTGCTCTGGTCTCTGACCCTGCCCGTCCTCTGTCCGTCGGGGGTGCACCTTCCCTTGGCAGTGACGTTCTACAGGACAGGTAGTACGAGCTCGCTTTTCTGTTTGAAGCCGCTCCCCATCTCTGCTCCATGCT